TAAGAAAGAGAATAAGTAAGAGAAGAGATAACACACCTGACTGCTCTAAGGTAGAAGATGCAATGCTCGTGTTATTGAAGGTGGGGGGAGGGGTGGATGGAAAGGATGTAATAGTGGCGTCATCTCCAACGGTTTTCTGACGAAGTTTGAACTAAAGTACCGGAAGCGTAAATAAGAACGAGAGATATATTATTCATAAATATTAAGGAATAAAACGAAAGTTGATAGAAAGAGGTTATAAAATAAAATAAATTTATAATAAATAAATAATTTATAAATTATAACTAAATTTGTAATACATTTATATAGTTGATAGAAATTCTGGATAGGCAATAAAACAAAGAAAATAACTGTTGAGTAATAATGGAGAAAAATTGAAATTAATACATATCATATAAATATATATATACACACACACATATACATACATATATATATATATATATATATATATATATATATATATATATATATATATATATATATATATATATATATATTATATATATATATATATACATATACATACATATATACACACACACACATATATACACATCCACATACATACACACACATATATATAGATAGATAAGAAAGTTGTCAGCGAAAAGGAAAGGATAACTATGGATGTTTTAATGAATTCAGAATTTGGGAATAGGCTAAAGATAAGTTCTGTTTGTCCATTTTTAAATTCACTGTCTTTGGTTGAAGCTGGATGTGGAGGGTTTCAGAAATGAGTCGTTTATCATGGTTAAGAACTGTGGCAAGGATGGATGTTTTGTCGAAATCAAATGTATGATTGAGGGAGAGAGAATGTTCGGATAATTTGGAGGCGGTAAAATTATGAGAGGATACAGAGTATTTATGTTAGGTGATGCGGTCTTTTAGGAGATTTTTGGTTTCACCAATATAGGATGAAAAACAATTGGGGGTAGAACATGGAATATGGAAAATGATATGAGAGCAGTGTGAGAGAGGAACAGGATCTTTTAAGGATGTGTATAATTTAGAGAGTGTGTTGTGAGATTTGAATGCAAGACGTAAGTTTGGGTTAGTAGATCGTAAAACTTTGTTGATGTTGTCCGAAAGGTTAGGAATATACGGTAGAGATCTGTATATAGGGGCTGAAATGGGTTGTGGAGAATTAATGGAAGTCGAGATTAAGGAAGATTTATTTTTTCTTGAAGATTTATTTAATTGAATAAAAAAAAAAAAAAGAAGTAGGTTGACAAAATTTAATGACGTAGGAATGATACAGCCTTGCCTCTTCGTAATATAAGCTATTAGGAAAGCCTGTCTTGTCTCTATTTCGCTGGTGCGAATTTCACACTAATTGGACAGATTTAAAGGCCTCCGGGGTGCAGTAGAACCTAACCAAGTTGTCTTATTGGTCCTCCATAATATACTGAATTATAAATTCATTCGATCCATGCTAGGGTTAAGTTAGAAGAAAATTTTAATGGAATGATCAAAATGGAAATATTCATATCTTTGTACCTGGTATTATTATTTGTCTCTTGTTCTTACTAATGTCATAATTCTAACAACTTCATTTTACTGTAATTTTTATGTTTCTCATACCTTGTTATCTGGTTCTTTTCTTAGCCCTGATGATGGCCTGAACTTCAGGTCGAAACGTCCGCAAATGACAAAATAAATATTATACCTCGAATATATTTACGCTGACGATTTTTTTACCTTTTCAATATATAAATTTTCTTCATTTTTCACACATATTTATCCTTAATAGATTTCATTACTTTAACATTTTAAAATAAGTTCAGTGCCTATGGATTCAGTTGTGCAGAATTGGCTGTTTACATTTGAATGCCCGCTGCTTCCACAGTATATATATTATTAGTTTATTTTTAATTATTTTTCATTTCGTTTCTTTCATTTTTTTTTCTTAATCGATTTAAGTTAGAAGATAACTTATATATTTTTTTCTATTATATCAATTAGATTACTTTGTAAATATATTTATATATCTTTGAGGCTTAAAATCCCACATTTCTGTCCTTGTTAATTATTCTATAGGGACTCATCCCAGAATAAATAAAAGATTATTATTATTATTATACATAGAAATTAGATCTTTATACTCTCAATGAATAAAATAATTTATATTACAATTATCTAAATTTTCGCCACTGCTGGCATCATCAGGGATACAATTACATATTAAAACATTATGTTATTTTACAACTGAAAAATATATTAATATCATCTACTACTTAAATTCCCTGCAAATAATCTTTACTGGGTACAAAACTTGACATTTTTAGAGCTACAAAAAAGAACATTGTTTACACTGTGGGTAACTAACATGCACTGAAGTCCAAGTTGACCGACAGTAGTTCTTGGAAAATTTACCATCTTTACCTTCTGAAATGAAATGCACATAGTATTGGTACTGCCATCTGTTAGAGAATAGCGGGAATTTATTTAAGGCCCTTTGTAACTGTTACATCATAACTTCCTATAAAAATGTTATACATCCTACATATTACTTATTTTCTATTTGTTAATTATTAATTTTATTTTTCACTATTTAGATATATTGGTATAATGTATTGAATTTTTTCCTATTTTATTACACAGTCCATTATCCTCTTGTATTAAAATTTTAAAACTTATAATATTTACATATAGTTTCATGTCTCACTATTAGGTACAGTACTTATATATTATACCTGCAAGGGGTATCTGTTGCATGCAGACACTTGGGGAGCAGTGCCTCCATTGGTTACCACAGCTCGGTATAGCATACAAACTCACCAGAACAGTACACTATAACACAAGCGCACATGTACAGTACACACCTCAGGGTTACCTCCCCTAAGAGGTCACCTCGGATGGGGCAGCAAGTTCGTATGCTACGAGGTAGCAGCCCTACCACCGGGCTTGGTGCTTTAGGCCAATCACCTACTCACCCTAAATAATTCTATTATGAAACCTCAAGATGAACAAAGAAAAGCTGGATTGTCTAAACGGTTACAACTTGAAAAATGTCTACTGGCTAACGAAATTAAAACTACAACATGGAATGTATTATCCCTGTATAGATCAGGAGCCTTAAACATACTTCTAGAACAAATCAGAAAATATAAGGTTGACATAACAGCTATTCAGAAAGTGAGATGGTTAGAAACAGACATACCAGAAAGAAGAAAAGAAACTGTCTACTACAGCTGCCATGAAAAGCAACACGTTCTAGGAACTGGTATTATCATGAGCAAACGAATAAAGCATCAGGTAATCGATTTTAAGCCCTGTGCCCTGCATTTTTAGTGTATATGCACCGACAAAAGTCAGTGAGGATAATGAAAAGGATTCTTTTTTATGAAGAACTAGAAAAAGTAGTTGTGAAGTGCTCCCAACATGATATAAACCTATTCCTTGGGGGAATTCAATGCTCAAATCAGGTAAAGAGCAATCACTTCACCTGGTAATAGGATCTCATAGCCTGCATGATGAAACCCGTGATAATGGATCAAGGTTGTTACTTTTGCTGCATCCTTAGGATTGACTGTGGGTCAAAACAAAACACTATTCAGGTCAAAACAAATCCATAAGGCTACATGGATATCTCCTCCTGATGGCAGGACTGCAAATCAAATTGATCATGTTCTGATAAGCTCTAGACATAAAAGTAAGCTTCTTAATGTGAGAACTTTTAGGGGCGTGAATGTGGATTCGGATCATTATTTGGTAGTGGCCAGGCTCCGAGCATGCATATCAAATGTAAGGAATGTTAAGACGGAAAGATTAACTAGGAACAATACTATCAAACTCAAAGACACAACACTAAATATTGATGATTCCTAAGGATGTATACGTTATAACGTTATCGCTGAATCTACCGCTATAAGCACTACAAGTTAGATAAGAAAAACTCAAGATAACTGCTTAATCAACTTGTATCACAACATTAACTTAATATTCTATTTTTAAGTATATTACCTATCTATCCGAATTAGTGCAATATTTAGAATATCTGGCAATATATGCATGCATTCGAATATTTTTATAAGTTGTTTCAATTTAATCAAGAATGCTTATTTTAATTAATGGGGACTTTAATTTAAGGGTAAATGGCAGCAAAGAAATAGTTATAAATTTAAATAAAAAGCAAACACTATAAATAATACGTAATTTCATGATTATTAACAAGAAAAACTGTACTTCTTTACAAACTACTAGTGTTGCCCAAAATCGGTCTTGGCCATGCACTTTGCAAAACCAAGACCAAGGCCGCGTAACTGTTGCAAGACCAAGACCAAGACTGGAAGCTTTTGATCACACTCTTGATGGACACATGCGAAGACCAACACATGTTGAAGAAAATAACATCGACCAAATGTGGGAAGGCTGTAAAAACAATTTAATATCGGTAGCCCTGGAGGTTTTGGGTAAGGAAGAAATAACCCGAAGAACTAATTGGTAAGATGAAGAGTGTAGAAAAGCCACCTTAGATAAAATTGAAGCCTACCGGCATATGATCGAATATAGAAAGAAGCGGAAAGAGGAAAAAAATATCCACAGGGGAAACAAGAGGGCATGGGAGAGAAGGAAGGTAGAAGATTTGGAAAACCTGAAGGAGCAAAAGGATATAAGAAACATCTATATCACTTTGTTAAAAATGAACGTAATGAATGAATGTAGAAACATCAACTTGTGTTATTTTGACTTAGATATAAAACTACCAACTATCATAACATTTTGGTAGTTCTACGAGACATTGGTTGTGACTCATGAAATAGATTCAATTGGAGCTTACATGCCTCTATATTAATTTTTTCTGCTTTATTGTATAATTATTTATGATTACTCCTTGTCTCACTAACTTATTCTAGATCTGATTAGTACATATAATTATTCATAATAAGATTTTAGCCTTAACAATCAGACTATAATAAATGAGTGAGCCAAGATATATTAATGCTAAACAAGATGTTAAGTTTTGAAACACAATTTAAACCTATTTTTATACTTACAGACATGCCTAAAGCATTAGGTAGAACATGTGTTTCAGGTACAAAAACATTGTCCATATGGATCATTCCTGTATCAGAGGCTCTTAAGGAAAATTTACCACTTATTTTTGTTGTACTTAAGCCTTCCATGCCTCTTTCAAGAATAAAACCACGGACCCTCTTATCATCTAAACTTCTAGCCCAAACAATAAATATGTCAGCAATAGGAGCATTAGTGATCCTAAAATATTAAATAAAAATTACAAGTTATTAAATAAACAAGCTAACCTAAATCTGAATGGTTTAATTAACCTGTTAGCCTGATACTCATATAATTGAATTCTTAAATTTATTCAGTAAATTATTATTAATACAATAAAAGTTATTTCACTAGCCATGACAGTAAAAAGACAGAAAAAAAAGTATCAATAAAAATCCATGAAGGGTCTTAGGTTCAGTCCTTAGTAAGTAAATGCTGTTACTTGCTCAACGATCATGCAAGGAAGTCATTTGATCAAACTGCCAGACTTTATTCCATAATTATTTAATTAAAAGTATTTTTGAACTTACATTCAATAAAAAATATAGAAGTTTATGGACGTTTTTTTTATTACCTAGAATGCAACAAACGTTGGGCAATATGTATTATGTATGTATGTTTCCAAAGGACAAGAATAAATGTCTTAAACCTATTTTAAAATGTTAGGTTCAAATAGACTAGCTGACTTAACATCACATAAATCTTTTTTACACTAAAAAGAAATTGATAAAATATAGAATCAAAACTTATGGCATGTTCTAACAAAAGTTCTCAAAAACAATTTTTATTACCAGGTTTTAGTGCCATTAAGAATATGACCTTTGTCTTTTTCTGCAAGTTTAGAATTAGTTTGCATTCCACCAGCATCACTTCCAAAATTTGGTTCTGTTAGTCCAAAGCAACCTATGGTGGTTCCAGCAGCTACAAAAAAAAAAAAAAAATGACAATTATTTCATATATATATATATATATATTCTTTATTTTTTAAATACCATTGAGCGTCACACCGAGGTTATAAGATAACACATGTAAATTGATAACATTTTTAAATTGTGATAACATATTTAAATAATTATTGAACAAACAAAAAGTGAATTGAAGATTGTAAGAAAAAACTTTAAATGTCATTTCTTTGGGTAAAAGGCGATATAGCTAAGTTATTTTTTATCTACCTTGTATTAATACATACATACATACACAGATAATTAAAGCTCAGTTGGAAGTAACAATTAAATTATTAGTTCATATTCTTGAGCTTACTTCATCAATTCCTTATATTTTCTCCTCACAACATCTTCATAGGTCTAATCGGGTATTATATAAGATTAGGATTTCATGTTTCATATTATAAAAAAATGTTTATATAAGGAAGTTAAAAATCTGAAATAAAAGTGGCGTCTTGGAGGTATGAAGGGGACTGGGGTGTGGTTTGATTCCACCATGATGTGACATATATAACTACCCAACACGATGCTATAGCCCTACTTTTACAAACATGCAATAATAGAAGCTAATAAAATATATTTTAAACTAAATATTTCTATTCAGAGACAACAGGGTAAGAGAAAAAACGGAATGATATTTTTTAGATGGAAGTTTTGAAGCTAAGCTAAAAGGTATAAGATAACCAATGGAATGAGCTAGACGCTGGCAAGACATGATGCAGCTGAGTCTCCATGGACTCATGGGACATAGCTCTGTCCCCACCACTTTTCTTTAACTCATTGCAAATATGGATCAGAAAAATTCATGCCTTTTTGCGTTTTTATTGTTATAACTTAATTGTCACCAACAAATAAAAATTTAAAATTTATGTAAGTACCCAACTGAATAAAACAAACAATAGTAATGTTGATTTTTTTATTTCTCCCCCTCGACAAGGGGGGCCATACCCGATATGATTTTGAAAGCAATTTAAACCACAACTTTAAATGTGTAAGTTTTGAGTATAAAAAAAAATTAAAAATATATCTTTACTTCTTTTGGTTTTATTACAATATGCAATAATGAAATTAGTTTGTTTCACCCCGTTTAATGCTATTTATAACCTGTAATGATGCCAAAAATGATAACATGTCAATAAAATAGTTGAGAGACAAGAGGCTTTCATTTTGAATTGATACAAGATATGTTTTTATAATTGTTATAATATAATTTCACACTTATTTGTTTAGTAAGTGTGAAAAGATATTTAGAATAAATGTTATAATACAGTATAAAACTTATGAGAAGTTAAATGCTCAATAGTCTACCCTCTATAATCTAGTTAAATGAAATTGTGCTTCTATAGAATCATAAAAGGATAACTCTAATGATTTTTCTTACTTTTATTATAGAATGAATCGTGCCTCTCAACATTTAAAGGAGGCCACTTTATAAAATGATTACATTGACTAAAAGTATCTTAAATTTAAACATAATTGTCACATAAGTTTTAAAAAAAATCTCATGCGATGCATCTCACAACTTTTACTTATCACACCACTTTCAGTAGAAATTAATATTTTAAAAAGATAATAAACCTTAAGGATATTGCATTACTTAAAATACAAAGGTAAGACAATTAGTTGATAAAAGTTATGAAAATTCTGTGCACTCTCTATTTTTAATTTATCAAGCTGAAAAAAAAAAAACAATTAGTTTTCCATATATTTTATATGAAATTGTTCATTTCCTATTCAATAAAATAAAATTACTTTTTATAACTACAATAATAAGTCCGTCCCATTAACGTCTACAACCTTGTATATTAGATCTTCATTTTTCCAATGACCATTCATCTATAATATTACTCTTATTTTCATTAATTTGTTTTTAACCTGAGAAAATATTTCTTCCATTTTCTCCTTTAATTGATTGTCAATTTTTTTCATTATTTCTGCTAAAGAAAACTATAGGTACTTTAGAGGATGAAATTTTGAAAATTTAACACTTAAGTCCAATGAGGTCAATACCCACACAATATTAAATACTATTCAGTTATATATCGATATGAGTTTAATTCAAACATGTGTAAAAGCCTTTTCATAATATTTGAATAAGGATAATACTAATCTGATAGAAAAGATCACTAAATTTTATATTAATATACTGATACGGTACTAGTATCAATGGGGAACGTCAAGATTCATTTCTCAGAGCTGCCAAGAAATGAAAATTAATCATCCCAGATGGGAATCACACTTGAAAATTTAATGATATAACGTGCCATTTCCGGTTAGTTGACTTCAATAAAAAAGGTGTAACAGCATCTCAGGCATATATATACCTACTTCAAATACGTAATTTCAGTTTCGTATGATTTTCTGAGCTAGACTGTTCACATACACAGAATGTTTTGAGAGTCTTTGTTATTTGGATTAAGAGACCCTTGGAACATGTATTTCCATAGAAAAAAAAATTGGATTAGAAAATTTTCTGTGTTAGCAATACTTTCTCTTACAATGTTTTTCATATGTTCCATATTAGGTTTTGAGTTCAGTACTTTGTTAGGAAGTGCAATAGTTGTGCAGGGCGGTGATCGGGCCAGGATCACGCTCAATCACCAGATTTCTCCCCATAATTAATTATTTAGTTAAGAGTAGCCACTTTATAGAGGCTGGGTGTGTCCAAGGAGGACCTCCCAACCTCAGGGTTGATTTATGGTTGATGAAAAATTATTTGACATTAGTGAGATTTGAACCTGAGATCTTGAGCAGGAGTGTCTGTAAATTTATTTTATGTATATCGTGAAGTGATCAAGTTTCATTGTATTTCTGTAAACTAAAAGTCCTCCAGGAAGGATTATAATTCAAAATAACAATTTAAATTATTAATGATCATATTTAATTGTTAAATTTATTGTTGTTATTATCTATTAAAACCACTTATAAGTAATTAAATAAACTAATCATGAAATTTTAAGTTAAAAATTACAAAGGAGAAGTTAATTTATGATAAATTTTCAAAAGTGTTAATGTACAATGATTAAAAAACACTAACTGAATTATTTAATAAAAAAGGGTTATCTATATATTCTAAAAACTAATTATTTTCATAAGTCCAAAGAAGAAGACAAGTTTTCATAAATTTTTTTTAAGGGAAATTAATGAAAACTCAAAACAATTTTAATTTTTAGTAAATAGTTGAGTATGAGAATAGTTAACCTAGTGATTGCAGATATTTTTTTTTCTGATCTTCACTTCCATAAGTATGTATTGGATACATAACCAAAGATGATTGGACACTGAAGGCAGATCGATAAGCACTATCTATACGTTCGACTTCTCTTGCTAGCAAACCATAAGCTGTGGTCGACGCACCTATGCATCCATAACCATTTAAATTGCAACCAAGAGCACCAAGCTTTCCCATTTCAACCATTATTGATTTATCAAAAACTGCAAAAATAAAAATAATATGAAATGAAAAGTAACTCTTATATTTACACATGTTATACTCTAAGAATAACATAGTTACATTCTATGTAAATTTATAAATATATTTATCATAGAAAAGTTTCATGAGTACCCAATATTTGTTTCATCAAAAAAAAAAAAAAAAATTGTTTACATAGATATGGTAGGTTAAAAATTAAGAGGGTGGAAAAATAAATAATGTATAAAGGATGTTTAGAAAAAAATAGGTAATAATAAATATTGGATACATTGTTGATTAAATTGTTACATTAACTACCTAAACATATAAACTAAAGCATTACAAAATACCTTCTTTTCGGTTTGCTTCCATTATACGAGGCATCAATTTCTGTTGGCAATAAGAACGGAATGAGTTTTTCAGCAGTATTTCATCTTCAGTTAAAAGTGATTCCAAGTTCAAAGCATCATCCACACTAAACGGAACTGAAACATTGTTATACAAAGTTTAATTTTATCTTTCAAGGACATTGAAATTCCAAAAAATCTTACAAGTGTGTATAATGCTATAACAAAGCCAGTTTAATGCAGTTAAATTGGATTCTAATCAGCACTCAACAAGGAAGATTTTATGTGAATGCAAGGAGCTCAATGGTAGAATTTCTATTCAGTAGTACATTGTGTTCAATTTACCACCTATTTGTGTTAAAACAATTACCTTCAACTGGTTCAAAGAGGCTCATTCACCCTTCTAGCATAGTAGCCTGTGCCAGCATTAAACATGTTATGTCAAGCTAGCCCCCACAAAAAAAAAAACAATTTTTTTACTGATTATATTTAATTTTTTATTTTAGGATTATTCTTAGACATTGTTCTACTTTACTTGCATTAAAAATCAACGTGTATACCTACGATTGAGATGATTGGTTTATATAGCTTAAAGCAATTCATTGGGAAGGCTCTACACAACAATGAATACACAAACCAGATTAATGAATAGAATAAACAAAAATGCATGCACCAAGATAGGCTGAGGTGGAGAAGGCTGGAAATATATAATTAATTGTTACAGTTTCTAAGAAAATAGCTTGAAGGGCATATTTTAAGTTTTGATTACAATATTAAATGTTGCGATTCATTAAATTCAAACTTTACAGGATAAGATTCAATCTTTAAAATATTGAGCCTATTTTTGCTGGTCAAGCACTAAATTTAGAAGTTAAATACAGAAATTACATATTATAGGTCTTTCGAATCCTGGATTCTGCATGGTTAGAGCCTAAAAACCAGACTCACTGCTGACTCCTTTACAGATAAATAAAGACACATGTTTTCCTGACTACAGAGGCACTAAACTGCAAGAATTAGTAACTACAGTTACAAATTTATGGAAAAAAAAAGTTCTGTACAACAAAACAAAGTAATTTTTATTTGATAACAAATATGATTTGGTTCTTCCAGTTTTGATATATTTCTCACATTTTCCTTTTCACTGTAATGCTTTCCAAGCATTTTCCATGATTTCTTAATTTTTTTTTTTTATTATGAACAAGTAATTACATTAGGAAAAAATCACAAATAACTTACAACAAAGTGCACAGAAATAAACATAAACCTAACAATAATAGTGTTCAGACGTATACACTAACTAGGAGCTATGAGAAGAAATTGCACTTAAGTTAGACAAAACTATTAAGATGTGCGTTGGATATTAAGAAACAGACATAATTCTATTTTCAATAAATGTGAAAATTTGATACTTGTTAATTATTATATCGTCACACTAGAATAATGATTTATCTAAAATTAAAACATATGCATTGTTTTATTATTGATATTCATTTTAAAAAATAACCTCATAATGTACACATTAAATAACATTTTTCGCAAGAGGTTAATGATGAAAAAATGACAATTGCATTCCTTCAGGATAAATAAATTTTACCAAGAATGAAGGTATGTTCAAAGGACCATGAAATAAATCTTTATTTTGGTAAAAAAAAATATATATTGGATATGCTACAAACAAAATTGTAGGAAAAGTATCGGAATAAGGACTGAAACCTTGGTTTGCTGACTCCAAAATAAGTTAAAAAACTGTAGTAAACTTTAATTATTCATGGTGTGAGTAATCGACAAGTATAAAATATTGTTTAAAACATTTATAAATGTCTCAACCGACAACAGTTGATTGAAATAATTACTTTCTGGAGCGTGTATATGGAAAATTGAAAAAAAAAAAAATCAAACTTGTATAGGAGGAGGCAGTAAATTTGTGAAGGTAGAGGAATGTTTTTTTAAATAAAGGCTTCAACCACTAGGGTCATTATCGGAGGAAAGTTTATTTACGATAAGGAAGTATAACGTAGGAAGCGTCCTTACTTATCAATCAGTTATTGGAGGGATTTGCCAAGAAACTAGTGAATGTTTTTTGGAATAAAATAAGAACCAATCAGAATCTATATTGTCAGAAGTAATCGAAAGAAGAATACATCCAGCTCTGTAGTTGTATCAGATTGATGGTAAGAATACAGGAATTTTTATAGAATGGGCTACAAACAGCAAACAGTTAAGCATAAATATCACTTTGTTGGTCCAAATACATTAGTAAATAAACAAAAAATCAAAAGATTGTAGGGATTAGCTAAATGGAGAAATAAAAGAAGAGGAACAAATCGGAATTTGCTAGCATCTTATATAGCAGAATTCATGTGGTACACTCAACATAAAGAAAAAGATTCAATTTCTCAAATTATAGTAGATATAGAACATTTTTGATTACATACAAATAAAAATTAGTTTTGTTTACATAAATACGTTTTTTTATGATTCTATTTAAAATAATTTAATTTATAAGTAGTGGTGATAATTAACAAATACTGAAAATTTTAAGCAAAGAAGCTTATATAATATTGTTCTCTTAAGGTACATTCCACTCAACCCTCTTCAGAAAGTTAATTTTGTATATATTAAGTGCAACTGATTATTAATGAAATTTAGACTATTTAATCAAAACGTATATACAAGCAAAAACTGATATGTAACAGCAAAATAACTATAACTATCATATGCATACAAATACCAATTTAATGTTCATTGGTATTTCCATGCAATAAATAGCTAATGAACTAAATATATAAAAATTATACCTAACCTTCACTAGATGATGAAAGATGTGCTTTCTTAATGTCTGCAGATAAATCTAAATTCAATAAAGGTTTCAAATTCCAAATAACAATAAAAAAACATTTAATAAGTGATTAAAGAAAACAAGCTGTCAGATAATACAGAAAGGATACAGTTCAACAATGACACTGAACATGAAGTGTAATTTCTTGGAATTTTACATAAGATAGACATCCTGAAATCTTAGTAATATAATAATAATTATGAACTTTTATTTTAAGCACTATTTCTTGGGTCACACGTTAATAAGTTAATAGGAATGAAAAAAAAAACACTTTTACTTAAAACAAATTTAGATGAAGCTATCTTAAAATGAAACCTTCAACTGATAATAAAACATCAACTAGGGATGGGCCATACAGTGGTCCAGAAGGCGGAAAAAATGATTTTTTGAATTGTTTGCAACCACAAGGGGACTGAGTATTCTGAATACATAAGAGTTGAGATACATGCCCCTGATATGAAATGGTAGTGACGCTTTTTATATAATCTGTGAGATAAAAGAATTCGTCACTTAGGAATTAATAATTTTGTAATTGTCTTCATGTATCACATATTCTACAAAATTTATGTAATAAAACTATTTAATATATTTTTTATCGTTATACAAAATGCCTATAAAACGGCATACTTTATCCTAATTTCCATTTTTTTAATTTAGATCCAATTATAAATTCGTTAAGAACACGCTCAAAGAATCAAAGTTTATGAATGGTTATTAATTTATAAACAACAACATCCTGCTCTATACGGTGAAGGGGTGATATAGACGGAACTGTAATTCTGTCACAGTGATTGGGACATAGGTGGTGATCACAGTGACAGGCGTAACAAAATCACAGTGACAGTCACCGAAAGCGCTTTTTCGAAAAAAAAAAACTACAAAAAAAAAAGGAAAAAATTTTCTTGTACTATTTTATTTATTGTTTAATTGCCGTTTATTTGTTAACTAAATTATTTTTCAAAAACATATAATAATTGTTTCCGAAATAGCTCTAGTTCTGAAATAAGTTAAAAATCGTAATTTTGGGTTAATGGTTGACTGTCGAGAATAATGAAGAGAAGAATGGTTGTGGCGATCAGTCAGAAATAAGAAGACAAAAATAAATAATTATATTTATTTTGACATTTGCCGACGATTCGACCTGAAGTTCAGGCCTTCATCAGGGCTAAGAAAAGAACCACATAACAAGGTATGAGAAAACATAAATAATGTAGGTAAAAAAAATTAAAGTAAAATGAAGTGGGGAGAAAAATGACAATAGTAAGAACTAAGAGATAAATAATAATGACCGTTACAAAGTGCAGAATGATGAAGAAACATAATAAAAAAAGGTGACATAAGTATTAAAAGGGTAATCTTAGAATAAAATATAAAACAGAAAAAAGGAATATGAAGTTATATAAGAAATGAAAATAAATAGTAAAATTAAAATATTGAAAATGGAAAAGTTAGATAGAAAATTGAGATATTGTAAAGTCTATCAAAATGTACTGACAAACATATAATACGTTAATAGGTATACAACTGCTCCATGATGACATCATGGAGCAGTTGTTTACCTATCACCGCTACCAGCTGCTAGTACCAAGAGGAAAAAATCACAGCTGTGACAAATAACTGGCTTGTTACAGTGATTTTTCCGGAGCTGTCACAGTCGGAGCAGTGACGAAAACTTTCTATCACTCCCCATCACTAGCTGTTTTCATTCTTGCCAAAGGATAGGGATGTGACGGTACTGGTGGAGCAGTGACGTGTAACAGAGTCTCGGTTTGGAACAGTGACAACCTGTTCCAAGCCTTGGGACCTTACCGGTCCAGTGACAGTGGCAATGAAAAAAGTCTTCTTATGCATTTCCTTACTTAATTTATGGATATATTAATATGTTATATATTATATTTATTAACCAACAGTCTCTTGTCCATTAATTAATTAATAAGTACTAGGTTTATCGCAAAAAAGATATTTCATTACTTTAAATAAATAATCCCTTCATGTAATCAGAAAATTGTGAGGTGGTTGTAACTGTATTCGAAATATATAAACGGATTTGTGCCATTTGCATGCATTTACAGTTATTTAGATCCTTACTTAGCTTACTATGTTTATATTTTAATGTACTTAGTGTTTATAATTTTAATAAGCTTATTCACATTGTTTATAATTTTTTTGTCTAAATATTATGTAACTTCCACAATTCTCTATCTTTTTTTTATCTTGTCCGTTCTAGCCCTGAAGAAGACCTGCAAAGTCGGGTCGAAACATCGGCTTTTAATGAAATAGTTTTATCACTATTTAGCCTATTTATGACCGCCACCCCCGACCATCTCCTTCCTTTATAATGCAATGGTCCACTATTAAATATTCAACATTAAAATTAATATGACTATTAAAAAAATTATTCAATCTATGCACTGTTTGCAATTGATTTTATAAATCACATTTTCTTATTGTCATATATTTGTTTAATTTGTTATTATTATATAACATTTATATTCCATTTCTATAGTTTTCTGATGAATCAATAACTTACATACATTTTCTCTAAATCAGCTATTAAATGAATAATGTCTTTGTCTATTTTAATACCATCTAATTTTTTTTTTTTTTTTTTTTTTTAAGCTTGATTCTTCACCTCACACCTGTCAGAAGTTCCGACAATCAGCGAGTGTGATGTCAAGATGTAGAGATTGGTCTTGGAATAGGCGTGAGGGAGAGGATTACCCAGCGGCGTCCTTCCTGTCTTGACCGTAATGTTTATAGTTAGTGGAGGTGATCCCTCATCCAGCTTCTTTTAAGCCTCCTTCGGGTGTTATCGGGCATGTTAGTTGTGGCCATGCCTCGAATCAATGAGTATGTATGTCCGTGTAAGTTATTATGAAATCTTTTGTAGTAGTAATGAAAGCATCGTATCTATCTCGGCGAGGAGATGACCCCTAAGAATAGGCACCTCTACTGTCTCGCAAGGCAGAAGAAAGCCGCGGGGAAAATAAAATATACCTGGTTCGCTTCCGGCACAGTGCGGTGTAGAAAAGACGGCGGCCATCAGGTTGGCCTCATCAACCAGGCACAGTACTTAGACGTCTTCGGATGATGGCTTGAATCTCGTTCACCATCAAGCATCTACGAACATTTTGGCACGCTCACCGGACCTTCATCGGAAATCTTTTATTTTACATTATATTATCAAGGCTATTTATTAACTTATTATTTATTTTTACTTTATTTTTTCTTCACGTCATTTAATGTATTTAATCTTTTTCAGCGTCTTTCCATCAAATACCGAATGTCCTCTCCGAAATCCTACTCATGTCTAGTGTCCTAACTTCCTGCCACGTCAACTCCCAATCCCTTCCAGCCCATTACGATGAATTCCTAGAATATTTTACCCAAACCTTTTACCACATCATCGCAATTTCTGAAACCTGGCTCAAGCCCTACATCCCCTCCTCTTCAGTCTCCCTTCCTAACTACACCCTAATCCTCCACGACCGGGGCAGCCGGACTGGCGGAGGTGTAGCTCTGTACGTTCATACCAGCCTAAAGACCCGAATTCTCCATCGTTCTTCTCCAACCGATCAGCCACAAGTCGAGTTCTTGATCGTCGAAATCTCCTGTAACACCTCTCATCTCCTCTATTCCGTGGTATATCGTCCTCCTCTTGTTCCGTTTGATCCGTCTTTCGAAGCTTCCCTCTTTAACTTTGTGCCCCTTTATTCCAAAATTATCATTTCCGGTGACTTAAACACCAATTTCCTCTCCGACTCCAGCGACAAATCATACATAGAAAACCTTTTTTTCTCCCTTCATCTTTTTATCGTTCCTTTTTCTGATACGCATCACACCGCTAGGTCCGACACTTGGTTGGACCTGTACATTATTGATTCCGCTCAAAACCTCCTTTCCTCTTCCCAATTACCAGTTTCCTTTTTATCGTCGCATGACCTAATCCAAATATCCTATAATATCCAAACCCCTCCGATCCTACCGAGAACGGTAACTTTCCGGAACCTTAATGGCCTTACTCGGGAAAAAATCTTACCTTCCCTAGAATCCCTAGATTGGAATATAATATATTCCTGTACCTCAATTGATTCCATGGTTGACATTCTCACCTCCAATCTTATTAATATCCTTGATGACCATGCCCCTCTCAAAACCTCCACATTTCGTCGCCTTCCTGCTCCCTGGATGTGTCAGAAAATTAAGGATCTTCAGAAGAGGCGTGATGCAGCCCGTAGACGCTTTAGACGCACTAGATTGCCTGAGGACTATCAAGCGTTCAGGGCGCTCCGCAACCTGACACAAACCACAATCCGACGAGCCAAATCTACCTATTTCCATGAAGCCCTTTCCTCAGCTCCTGATTCCAAATCCAAATGGCTACTCCTTCGTAAACTCTCTCTTTGTGATCCTACCAGATCTCCTCCCTCTGCAGTGCCCCCAGTTTCACCAAATGACTTAAATTCTTATTTTATATCTGCTTCCTCTTCAACTCCTTCATTTCCCCCTTCCTTCTTTCCTCCTGGAACATCTTTCAATGACGCCAATTTTTATTTTTCAGATATTTCTCCCACAGACCTCATATCCGCCGTGATGAAATCACACTCTAATTCTTTTGGTCCAGACGTCCAGACGTCAAATTAATTAAATTATGCCCCCCTGAAATCCTTCCGGTACTCCTTTTCATCTACAATTTTTCCCTTCAAAATTCAGTATTCCCTTCCTTGTGGAAAAAAGCCACAGTCCGTCCTTTAAATAAAAATTCTAATCCGTCTTCCCCTGAATATTTCCGGCCAATCTCAATCCTTTCTAACCTTTCCAAACCCCTGGAGAGAATTGTGCAATCCCAAGTTTCCAACTTCCTTGAACAGTCCAATAAACTTTACCTTTACCAATCTGGTTTCCGACCAGGTTATTCCACACAATCCGCCCTAATCAAAATCATTAATGATGTTCAGTCCGCCATTGATGACAAAAACTAACTGTCCTTATACTCATTGACTTTTCCAAAGCCTTTGATTCCATCAACCATTCCATTCTCTTTTCCAAATTAAAATCATTATCCTTTTCCCATAGTTCTATCCTATGGTTTCAATCTTTCCCCTCCCAACGCTCACAAGCTGTCGCTATTCCTAATCAACCATTTCTCCCTATATTACTTTGTCCACAGGAGTGGGCCAGGGCTCTAGCATATCTCCCCTCCTTTTTAGTTCTTATATCAATGACATCCATAATTCAATCCTTCACTGCTCCCATCATCTTTACGCCGATGACTCCCAAATCTACCTTTCCTTCCATCCCTCAGAGTTGCATGAAGCGTTTGCCAAAATTCAAGAAGACTTGAATCGGATCAGTGCTTGGGCAAACTTAAATGGATTAAGGTTAAACGCTGCAAAAACTCAAGCCATTGTCATTGGTTCCAAACCCCTTCTCAGAGCCAATACCAACATACATATACTGTACCTAAATGACCATCCCATTACCTTCACCTCCTCAGTAAAAAACATAGGCATTTTCATATACCAAACCCTATCCTGGAAACACCATATTGCTCACATTACCCGACAGTCAATTAGTACCTTGAAACTATTCCATCGCTTCCGCCATCTCCTACCCATCTCCACACGTAGACTCCTAGTAACTTCCCTCATCTTCCCCCACCTTGATTACGGCTGCGTGGTGTACGGTGGACTCTCGGCAGAACTCGGGGAGAGACTGAAAAGAATTATGAATGCCTTCGTAAGATTTGTCACAGGGGCCCTGAGGTATTACCGTGTTTCGC